ATAGGTCGGGCGTGTCCCCCTACAGGGGGACTTCGGACGACAAATAAAAAATGGTCAAACAACTACTCAAAAACTGATCAACAATGATATGGAATCGCCCCCAGACTATCTTTGGACTATTTTTGAACATTCCTCCTGTAGAGGGACAGGCCCGACTTAACGCCAGGTCGGTCCAGCTGGACCCCACCCGGGGTCCAGCGAGGCGTAACTTAAGGCCAGGCGAGCGCCGTCGCTGCCCGAGGACGGGCCCGCCTCCAGTCTGGGCGTAGTCGAAGTCCTCCAGCAGCCGCGGCTCGGCGAGCAGGCGCAGCGACCGCTCGCCGGGCCCCGCCAAGGGGGGCCACCGCCAGGCCAGCGGCGAAGCGAAGAGGGGTCTCGCAGTAGGAGCTCGACCACAGGAGACCTTCCGCAAGCAGCCCATCCCCGAGACCGCAGGACGTCCGCTGATTTGTGGGAGTGGGAGCGCCGCCTTGTCCACAGCAGAGCCACCGAAGCCCAAGAAACCCAGGGCACCCTGGAGGCAGGCAGGGTGCCTCTTGGCATGGGCCTCCGCTGTCGGAGCATGGAGTGGGAAGGCGCCGGAAGTAGACGGGGCCTCCGGCCGCCCCCTGAAGAGGAGGGAGGAGGGACAGCCGCTCGGCTCTGAAGCAGGAGGGCGCCAGAAGCAGATTGGGATCCGACTATCCAGTAAAAATTATTGTTAGGTCGGGCATGTCCCCCTACAGGCGGATTTCGGTTGAAAAATAAAAAATAATCAAAACATGCTCCAAACATGCTGAAAAATAGTCAAAGCATCGTCCCCAGACTATTTTCTGACTATTTTTGAACATTCCTCCTGTAGAAGGACGTGCCCGACCTAAAACTACTCCCGACGGCCAGCGTGCACGCGAGATGCCACAGCGACCTTCCGCGGCGGATCGCGCGGGCCGCCAGCGCGGCGCGCCGCAGTGGAGACGAGGGCGCTCACGCGCGCGACCTTCCGCGGGCAGCCTGCGCGCCAATGTTCAGGCAGTGGCGAAGCGTCCCGGCTCGCCTATAGCCCTACCAAACAATGTTCTAAGAACCCTTTGTGGTTTCCACGAACTGTTCTTAAAACACTTCGTGGTAGGACTATAGAAATGCCGGGACGGTCGGAGCCCTGCTCAAAATGTCGACGCAGACGACCCCGACCTTTTTAGGGGCGTCGCTCCGGTGGGGGCCGCCGCTGCCTCGAGGAGGCGCCACCTCCCTCGAGGAGGCGCGGCCCCCCCCCCCCCCCCGGAGCGCTCCCGGGCGGCCCCCCCGAGGAGACCCCAGCGCCCGAGGACCTCCTCCTCCTCCTCCTCCTCCTCCTCCTCCTCCCTCTCCCTCTCCTCCCTCCCTCCCTCTCTCCTCCTTCTCCCTCCTCCTCCTCCTCCTCCTCCTCCTCCTCCTCCTCCTCCTCCTCCTCCTCCTCCTCCTCCTCCTCCTCCTCCTCCTCCTCCTCCTCCTCCTCCTCCTCCTCCTCCTCCTCCTCCTCCTCCTCCTCCTCCTCCTCCTCCTCCTCCTCCTCCTCCTCCTCCTCCTCCTCCTCTCTCGAGCTTCGATCCTGGAACCTCGATCCTCAGGAGGAAGTTTCGGTGGCAGCTCATGGGAGCCTCCCATACCTTCTCGTCGGCTCCTGCGAACCGACGCTGGTCGGCGCTGAATCGACGCTCATCGGCGCAAAGTCGACGCTGCTCGACGCTAAATCCGGGCTATCTCATTGACTTCCAAACACTAATCGAAGACAGAAATGCGAGGGTACACAAGGCTCCCATGATTTGCTACCGAAGGAAGTCGTGACCCCACTAGTGGTGGCCCCCCTTGACACTGCCCGGGCTCGGCGGCGTCGGCACGCACCCGCAGCGGGGGCGACGCGCCAGACACGGACGTCCCGCGGCTGCGGAGGCCCTCGCCGCGCGGGCTGAGCAGCTGGTCCAGCGGGGACCGGCCCTTGTACAGGACTGGCGCGATGCACGTCTGGCATCTCTGAGGGATCATGGCCAGAAGAAGAAACGACCGTGTCAGAAGTAGAAACAACGGCATAAACATGAATCTTTAGCGCTCCACGCGGACTTCTCGGATCTGCGCCGGACCCCCCTCCCTGGCGCTGGATCCGCGCGGAGCGCCAGAAGTTTATGCCAATGCCGTTTTTCTCTTCAAATATGAAACTGACCAATTGGGCGACGAAGAGAAACGGGTCTTACGCGAGATGCCACAGCGACCTTCTGCCGCGGCTCACGTGGGCCGCCGACGAGGCACGCCACCACTGGAAACGAGGGCGCCTCTGCGCCACCTCGCGCAGGCAGCCTACGCGAGAACGCCGGCGCAGCCGAACCCGTTTGTCTACGTGGCTCCCTTGGAGGTCCGCGCAGACACCTTGGATCGGCGCTGGGCCCGTCTGGCAGCACCTCCAGCGCTGCTCCCGGCGCCCTTCGCGCGCTCGGGAAGGGGGGCCGTGGCTCCGAGCCACGACATCCGCGCGGACCCTCGGAACAGCTTCTGCGCTTGACGTTTTTCCTTCCTCGGATAGCGCCGCCCTCCTTCAGAAAGCGCCTCCCCGCGTCGCGTATGATGGGCTCCACCCCCTCCTGCGTGGCGATGCTGCCGATGAGCTCCGAGACGACCAGGTCGACCTTCTCGGGCAGCTCCACCTGCATGGAGTCTCCCTCGATGACCTGCACGGTGCCCCCGAGCCCCGCCTCCTCCACCGCGCCCCGGGCCAGCGACGCGGCTGCGGGATTCTTCTCGACCGCGTAGACCCGCCTGGCCCCCGCCCTGGCGGCCATGATGGCCAGGAGGGCGAACGGGCCGGTGCCGATGGTCGGCGGTTCAGAGATGGGGCCCTGGACGGGCCGGTGCCGATGCTCGGCGGTTCAGAGATGGGGCCCGGAGGGATGGAGACTATTTTGAATCAATTATGGTACAGTTGGCCCGTGTCAGAAGGATGCGCGATAAGGATGCAATGGCCCTGGACGCCCATTCCGAAGCTTCTCGAGCCGGGCGCGGTCAACGAAAGTGGCCAAGGATGGACCGAGGAGGCAAGGATGCAAGGGTGCTCTTGGGAAGGTTGCCAAGCCTTACCATGCGGGTTCACTGTCATGGTCACGCTTGGGCGAAGTGGGGCACGTCGGGCTGGGGTGCGCCACGACGTATCGCCAGAATATGCGCGCGAACACCCACATGTGGGGGGGGCTCCAGACCCCGCCCCTCACATGATTACGATCGTTACCGTTACCGTTAAGTCGGGCCTGTCCCCCTACAGGGAGATTTTCGACGAAAAATTAAAACTACCGTAAACATACCCCAAAAAGGTCAAATAATAGTCCAAAAATGGTCCCCAGACTATTTTTGAACTATTTTTTGACCATGTTTGGGGTATTTCTTTTTTTCGTCGACAATCCTCCTGTAGGGGGACAGGCCCGACTTGACGTTAGGTTGGCCCGGGTAAGAACCATTGCGCGCCAGAAGACAGACACAATCTCATGGGGCCATCGAAGACGGCGAGGGGATCCCAGGCCGAGGGAGGCCGAGGGAGGCCGAGGGAGGCATCCCGAGGGAGGCCGAGGGAGGCATCCCGAGGGAGGCCGAGGGACGGCCGAACCTTCACTGTCGGAGGTCTCTCGCCCTTGTAGGGCCCCCGCCCGCGGGGTCCCTCAGAGATGGGGCCCCGCGAGCTGGGGCCCCCGAGGACGGGAGGGGGATCCCGAGCCGAACCTTTCACTGCACCCGCCTGGCGGACCGTGCTGCGGCGGATCCCTGCGTGGATTCTTGCTCGAAGAGGCGAGCGAAAAGCGAAGTGAGTTTTTTGCGTGGGTTCTTGTCGGTCTTCACTCCAGGCCCCAACAGAAATCCGCACGAAATTCACCTCGAAATCGGAGACGAAATTCTCCAGGACACCCCAGTTTTCCGAACGAAATCCGCTCTGCTATGTTGGCGCCATGACACCTTCACTCGGCGGCGAGCCCGGGGGGAACTGAGAAGGGGCGTGGCCTTCTCTTCGCAGCAGGTTTGGACGTCCCCTGGCCTTCTGAGAAGTTGCCCGAGCCTCCCCCGATGACGCCGAAAGCTTCTCTCAGAAGGCGCAAGGGCTTCTGAGAAGTCCCGCCGCCTTATGCGAAGGCCTTCTCCTTCTCACTTCCCTTAGGTCGAGCATGTCCTCCTACAAGGGGATGTTGGGTGAAACATCAAAAACACAAAAATATGCAAACATAGTAAAACAGATTATCCCAAAACCGCCCCCTGACAATCTTTTGACTACTTCTGAATACTCCTCCTGTAGGGGGACATGCCCGACTTACCACTTCCGCCCTCGCCCGCCGCCGGGAGAAAGATCCCACGCCGAACCTCCACTTTAGAGGCCGCTCGCCGCTGCATAGGGCCCCCTCCCCGGGCCCCAGAGCGGCGTGTGGCGACGCACCGCGCGGTGCCCTCGGAGCCCCCGCAACGACCACGCCGCGCGCTCCGTCGCCGCAGGGTCTTGTCGGGCACTGGTTAGTGGTAAAGCCCTGGGGCCCCTCAGCTGGCCAGGTTCACTAAACCAGGTTTGCGCCGTAACTGGTGTTTTTCGGGTAACTTCTGTCAGTAACGGTTAGTGGAAATGTCGGGGATCTTCTGACCCGGGTCAATCCAGACCCGGGTCAGCAGGAAACCAAAAAACTGCAATGCAGGGGAAAAAAACTGCAACGCAGGTCTTCGCAAACCCAGGACAGCCAATAGGCGCGGCCGCCTCGCGGCCACGAGCGGCTCGCTAACCCGGGTCAGCGAGAGGGGGGCTTCGCAGGATCCTGCAGGATCCGGTGCCCTGGCTGACCCCCGTTTGCACTGACCCCCGTCTCTTAGGCCCCGAAAATGGGGCGGGGGGGCGCCCCCGGTACAAATCACTGAAACAGGTTCCAACGCACCCCCGAAGCCCGGTCGCCCGGGAGGTCCTCGGAGAACGGCCCGAGTCCCAGCACCGTGCGGTGACCCCGGATCCCCACTGACTCACTCGCCGTCGCTCGGACGTCCACTTCCCGTGCAGTTTTCGGCTTCGTGCGGGTGTGTTTGTTCCTCGATGGTCCAGGAGGGTCCTCGTGGTTTCTCGCCGAGAAAACATGCACACGTCCAAGCGATGCCAAGCTCACCACGAGGTGCGGTGGTCTGCGGGTCGTGGCTCGGCTCGGGCCTCTGGCGGCCGCTCGGGGGCGGCCCGGGCAACCACGGAGCGCCCTCGTCGGCGAGGCGCAGCTGCGGAAAAACGCAGCCAAAAAGGCCGGAAGACCGCCGAGAGCCAGCGCAAGCGTTCGAACACCCAGCGCTCCCCCGTGAGCCTCTCCCCCCCCTGAGAACGTTTAACAGCCTGGAACATAGCCTGGAACATATCCCTATCCCTATGCTGGGCATCGCCCCATCATGATGCCGATCTTAGGGATTCCCTCAGTTTTTGAGGGCGCATCCCTAAGATTGTCATTGCCTTTCGGCGTGTCAATCTTGAGGATAGGGATAAGTTTTAGGCTGGTGAAACGTTGCCCTCTGACCCACCACGCGGTGTGGTCACCACACCGTGTGGGGCCCCGGACGTCCCTCGGGTCGGGTGGGTGTTCAGGGGGGGGCCTGAATGGGGGGTGAAGAAAGGGGCCCTAAAGGACTCCTTTAGGGCCCCTTCTTTGACCCCCCATTTAACTCGGTCACCCCCCCTGAACACGCGCCCGACCCGGGGGCCTTACCTCTAGACAAGCGCGTCCCAGTGCTCGCAAAGTAGCTGCTCGCAAATAGCCCGGTTCCGCGGCGAGGGCTCTGCGACCCAGTACGCCGGAGGTAAGCATGTGTGTTTGTTTCGGACGCTTGCTAGTTGGCTCTTTGCGAGTATAGTGGAGCGCGCTCGGTGACCCCTGAACATAGAAGGAGAAAAAACACCATAAACATAAACTGTTGGCGCTCCGCGCGGATTTCTTGAATCTGCACTGAACCCCCCTCCCTGGCGCGCGGAGCGCGCCAGGGGCCCGGGCGCCGATCCAAGAAATCCGCGCGGAGCGCCAACTGTTTATGTTTACGCCGTTTATTATGATTATTCCTCTTCCTCTTCTTCTTTTTCTTCCTCTTCCTCTTTTTATTATTCCTCTTCTTCTTCTTCTTCTTCTTCCTCTTCCTCGATGATCGATGAACACCCGCCCGATCGGGGCCCCACATCGGAGCCGCCGGGATGTCCAGCACGGCCGCCCGCCCCGCCGGCAGGGCGGCCAGGCTCCGGCGGATGGCCGCCTCAAACCCAGCGGTGCGGGGCGTGTCGTCGCGCACGGCGCTGGCGGCGCGCCGGTCGCGGCAGGACATCCGTCGGCATCGGCATTCGGGACATCGGATCGAATCGGAACGCGGGTCGGATCGGGCCGCATTCGAGCAGGGGATCGACTGCACAATTGATGTCCAGCAGGGGCTCGACCACAGGAGACCTTCCGCAAGGAACCCGAATCCTGGAACCCCAGGACGTACGTAGAGTTTTGGCGTGGGAACGTCACGCTGTCCATAGCAAAACTATCGAAACCCAAGAAATCCAGGGCACCCTGGAGGCAAGCAGGGTGCGTCTTGGCATGGGTTTCCACCGTATCCTACATGTGATCTGTTCGCCGAATGTACGAAAACACGTGGAACGCTCCTTAGAGCATTCTACGCATCCATTCGTAGATTCGACGGGAAATCAATTTTGGGGTAAATCAATTCTGTAATCGATCCTCTACTCGACGCATTGACATGGAGTCGGAAAATAATGCAGGGGAATGTCTCCACCCTGGAAGATGATCGCATATTGTGGTGCTGGTGGTGATACTTCGGCCTCCCGAGCATTGCCACCGTGACCGAGATCGGGATCATCTTCCCTCGGTGGAGGCACACCGCTGATATTGGTGTTGATGTCAACCTCTAGGCCTCCCAGTGGGTCGAATCGGGCCGCGTTAGCAGCTGGCACAGAGTCGGAAAAGAATCGGATCGGCGGCGCCAGGATGCACGACAGCACCATGCAAGCGTCGGACCGCATCGGATCGATCGAAGGAACATCGGAATCGAGTCGGATCGGGCTGGCCAGAATCGATGATATCGAAATCGAACCGATGGGATCAAATGGACCCCGCACAGAAGGCGTGGCGCGAGTGGGGCTGCCTTCGAAGCGAGCGGGGGCCACTTGTATGAAGGCAGGGGTCCTCGCAGAAGCTCTCCCAACCTCTGAGAGGCCGCCCTGGAGACTCCGGGGCCTTTCTGAGAGGCCCCCGCCCTCTTGTTGGAAGGGCCCCGCCTTCCTGGAGGCCGCGCCGCCCGCGCCACCCGCATGTGTAAGGACAGAAAACCCACCCACATAAGGATCACCCCAACAAAGCGAAGCCGTTTAGTAAACGCACCCAGGGAAGGAATCGAACAGGGCAGGGCTGTTCAGTAGTTAAACGCCCAAGGCCGTTTCATAAACGTCAACTGTCGGGTCCGGGTGGTTTTTCCTCCCTTGAACGTTTGCGCGCCGCCAGCATAGCCTCGTAGTCCGCCACCTTCCAGTCCTCCAGACCCGCCTCCGCAATGACCCGCCGGAACCTCAAGAAACAGGGCGAGCCGAGACAAGGGCAGCTCCAGGTGTAGGTCGGGCATGTCCCCCCAAAAGCAGATTCTGGAAGAAAATAGACAATACGCAAAACCTATTCAACAAACACATAAAAATTGTAATAAAACAAACATAATCCTCTGACTATTTTGTTGACTATTTTTGGACATTCCCCTTGTAGAGGGACATGCCCGACTGAACTCCAGGTCGGTCCAGCTGGACCCCACCCAGGGGTCCAGATGCGCGCCAGTCTCCCAGGCTGTGCCCCGCCGTGGCGGCGGGGGACCCCCCGAAGACCACCGAAGTACCTGGAGCCTGGTAGGCCACCTAGAAGACGGGGCCCGAGCAGATCTGGATGGGGTCGAGGGACCGCGCGCCGCATCGCCGACGCATCGGCAGTTCATCTCCGACGCATCGGCGATGTCGGCGTGGAGAAAAGATCGGACTCCACGTCGAGTCGCGTCGCCGGTGCATCGGCGATGCGGCGCGATCCTCCGACCGCATGAGGGCGTTTCTGCTGTCCGCGATCGCGACCGCTACCGGCCCCGGCCTCCCCCCCCGCCCTCTGGTAACGTTAGGTCGGGCCTGTCCCCCCTACAGGGGGATTTTGGACGAACGATGACAAATAGTAACATACTCCAGAGATGCTCAAAAATAGTCGAAACAAATCGTCCCCAGACTATTTTTGCACTATGTTTGAATATTCCTCCTGTAGAGGGACAGGCCCGACTTAATGGCAACGTCACGATTCGTGCCGGCGCCGTCTGGGAATGCGTATGAATAGCCCAAGGGCCCTCGAATGGCACATGCCAAGTGAGCGCGCACCGAGCCATGGATACCATTGCAGGAACCTGCGATGGATGGCAACGGACAGCGAAGCGCAGCGTAGGGGACTGCTCATAATAGCCCGCTTCCCGGATTCCCCCCCTCCGGTGCCTGCTATTGTTACTTTGCCCGTTCTTCGGAAATTCCAGAGTTTCCCGGGTTCCCCGGGTTTCCCCAGTGCCTCGTATTCTTGCGTTGCCCGTTCCCCTGGGGGTCTCCGGGTTCCCCTGTTTCCCCGCCCCCGGTGCATCATGCCAAGCCATGCCAAGCAATGAAAAGCAATGCCACGCAATGCCAAGCAGTGCCATGCAATACCAAGTGGCGCCAAGCAATGCCAAACAGTGCCAAGCAATGCCAAGCAATTCCAAGCAACGCCAAGCGATCTCAAGAAATGCCAAGCAATGCCAAGCAACGCCAGGCAGTGCCAAGCAATGCCACGCAGCAACGCGAAGCAATGCGAAGCAATGCCAATCAGTGCAAAGCAATGCGCCAAGCAATGCCAATCAGCGCCAAATAAGGCCAAGCAATGCGAAGCAATGCGAAAAAATGTGAAGCAATGCCAAGCAGTGCCAAGCACTGCGCCCATGCAATAGGAAGCCTTCCCCGAACCTGGGTCACGCCAGGTTCATAGGTACGTTTTTGCAGCTTCCTCTCCCTTCCGTCCTCCGTTTCCTCCTCCTCCTCCTCCCCCTCCTCCTCCTCCTCCTCCTCCTCCTCCTCCTCCTCCTCCTCCTCTCGTCGTCCTCCTCATTGGAGATTGTGAAGCGCTGCGCGCAAGGACAGCAGAATGAGAGAGGGAGCCGAAAGGACGGAGGGGGCGAGGCGGGCGGGGTCGACTCGTGCTCTGCGAGGGGCCCGGGCGCCCCTGGGCCAGGGGGGGCGGGAAGTGGCCTCGTCGTCGTCGTGCTCCTTCTTCTCCCTCCGCCTCTCCTCCTCTCTGCAGGGGCCCTGGGACACACAAACAAATATACACAAATAACAGGGTTCCCCACATTTTCCCATATGTTCTTGGTTTTTGTCTTCCCCCCCACTCCCCATATTTTCCCATATTTTCCTGGGAATCGACGGTGAATTGTGTCTGTGTGTTTTTTCCCCTCCTGATCTCCTCCTCTCGTCGTCAGATTCATGCTTATCGCGATGCGAAGTGCTCCACTTCACAAGCACGTGCGCACCACACCGCTGGGACGCAGCGAGGGCCGGCGGAATGGCGTAAGCCTGCGAGATACACGTGGGCCACTTGCAACACAACCCTACCAGCAGCGCACTGCGTCCTTCTATCTGAATGTTCGGACTACGACCGAGAATCTCAAGCTGGACGTTTTAAATGTCCCGCTGTTGTGGGTTCATTCCGTACCAGGCAGGAATGCAAGGGAAACGCCGCCGGTTGAAGGCAAAGCGTGCACCTGCGAGCACCACAATGGCCCGCGAGCACCACAACGCGTTCGACTATGAACACAAGTAAGACGAGAACAACGAGAGGAAGAGGAAGAGGATGACGAGAAGGACGACGACGAGGCCATTTCCCGTCTCGAGCCCAGGGGGGCCCTGACTGCTTCCAGAGCACGAATCTAAAAAACAAGTGGAATCAAATATGTCCTTTCGGCCTGGCCCCGCATCCCTCCCCCCTTCTCCCAACACCCTGTTCCCTTCTTCTGTCCTTGTGTGCAGCACCTTGCAATATAATGAAGAGGAAAAGACGACGAGAGGACGACGACGACGACCACGACGACGACCACGACGACGACCACGACGACGACGACCATGACGACGACGACGACCACGACGACGACGACCACGACGACGGGGACAAGGAGAAGGAGGAGGGATGATGGAGGAGGAAAAGCAGTAAGAGAAGGAGTAGAAGAAGAAAGGCGCTCTGCCGTAGCAAATCCCTATGGGTATACGCGCTCTATGTAGCAGATCCTTACAGGTATCTGTTATCCGAAACGTCGTTCGTCCTAGGTTTTGTCAGACGGCACATTACCAGCCCCCTCTTTGCGGCCCCCCTGTAAATCCCAGTACCGCCAGGGAACAAAACGCTCCCCATCTACTCGGACCAATATGTGAGGCCCAGAACCTACCGCTGTCTCAACTCGCCCTCCTCAGAAAACACGCACCGCTGAAGCGCTTTCGGCTAGGCGCAGCCGTTGAGGGCATCATCCCGAGACTGGGGACTCGCCGAACACCGACAACGCCCGAGCACTCTCCAGAAAACGCCCGCACACGCCCGGAGACCACCGAAAAAACGCCCGCACCCCCCCCAACGCACGCCCGAACCAGAACGCTCCACACCAAAAAAGCCGCCCTGCACGTCGAGAGCGGGCCCTGGGCTCCTCCCTCCCTCCTCCTCCTTCCCCCCCCCCCTCCCTCCCTCCCCCTCCTCCCTCCCTCCCTCCCTCCCTCCCTCCTCCCCTCCTCCCTCCTCCCCTCCTCCTCCCTCCTCCTCCCTCCTCCCTCCTCCTCCCTCTCCTCCTCCTCCTCCCTCCTCCTCCTCCTCCTCCTCCTCCTCCTCCTCCTCCTCCTCCTCCTCCTCCCTCCTCCTCCTCCTCCTCCTCCTCCTCCTCCTCTCTCCTCCTCCTCCTCCTCCTCCTCCTCCTCCTCCTCCTCCTCCTCCTCCTCCTCCTCCTCCTCCTCCTCCTCCTCCTCCTCCTCCTCCTCCTCCTCCTCCTCCTCCTCCTCCTCCTCCTCCTCCTCCTCCTCCCCCCCTACCGCAGCGCGCGGCCCGCGGGCGCCGCGGGCGCCCCGCCAGCCGCGCGTGCGCCCCCGCCAGGCCCAGGCCGCCGCCGCCGCGCCCAGCGCCGCGGCCCGGCGGCCCCCGCCCGCCCAGCGGCCGGCGCGACCGCGCGCGCGCGGCGGCGGGCCGCGTCGGCGCGCGGGCGGGGCGCACGCGGCGGCCACGGCGGCGCGGGGCGCGGGCCGCCGCGGGGGCGGGCCACGGCGGGCGGGGGCGGCCGAGAGGGGCTGCCGCGACATGGGGGGGGCGGGCAGGGAGGGGAAGAGCGAGCGAGGAAGGCAGGAGGAGGAGGAGGAGGAGGAGGAGGGAAAGAAATGCGAGGGGAGGGGGAAGAAAGCGGCGCGGATGAGGGCCCCCTCAGGAATCGGCACCCTGGCCTCTCCTGGGCCGCGCGGCGACCAGAGTGTGGGAGCTCAAGAGGAGGAAGGGATCTGGGACCGAGCCAGATCTAGAAACGCCACAGCAGAAAGAGAGGGGGATCGAGGGCGCCAGTCCCAATTGTTCGTGGCGCTGGGACTTCTGAGAGCGTGAATTTCTGGAGAGAGAGAGAGAGAGAGAGGGGGAGGCGGGGGGAGGAACTAACTATGTGAGGCAAAGGGAGATGCGGAGGGTAAGGAGGCATGAGGAGGGGTGACCAGAATAACAAGTTAATCCGGCGCAACCCCAATTAGGGGAAAACCGATTGCATGGGCGCATCGATGGGCGCGTCGCTTGGCATGGCTTGGGATTGCTTGGGATTGCTTTGCATTGCTTGGCATTTCTTGGCGTTGCTGGACATTGCTTGGCATTGACTAGCATTGCTTGTGGCAACCAGGGGCGGTGAACCCGAGGAACCCGGGGAACCCGAAGAACCTCCCAGGATTGGGCAAAGTAACCCGGGAACCTGAGGAACCCGTAGAACTCGAGGAACCTCCTAAGGGGCAACGTATCAATAAGAGGCACTGGGGGCGGGGAACCCGAGGAACCCGAGGAGCCCGAGGAACTTCAGGGAAACGGGCAACATAACAATAGGAAGCACTTGGGGCAGGGAACCCGAGGAACCCGGAGAACCCGAGGAACCTCAGGGAAACGGGCAGCGTAACAATAGGAGGCACCGCGGGCGGGGAACCCTCAAGGAACCCGAGGAACTTCTGGGCAACGGGCAACGTGAGAATACGAGGCACCAACCCTTCAACCAAGTAAAAACCCCTCAGGCAAGCCTAAATGGGGAAAAGGAAGAGACATGATGAGGGGGAGGAAGGGCAAGAGGAGAGATGAGGAGGGGGAGGAGGGCACAAAAACGAGGATGAGGATGCGAATCGCGACGGTGTGATCATTCCGTTGCGTGGGTGCTCGCGACGAGACGCTCGACTCGCCTCGCTTACGAGCCGAGTCGAAGAGCGCAAATCAGCCACGCTCTTCCGGAGCGGCGTGCTGAAAAGCCACGACCGGCCC